CCTGTAAGGGAGGTATGGGCAGAGAGCTGAATGAGGGTCTGCAGGATCCTGGCATTGCAAACGCGATCTACTGATTGCAGGTGCAATGCTTTACAGGATGAATTGTAAAAAAAATACAAAAGCACATTTTTCTATCTGCAAAAATATGTGCATTATTTATTTATTTATTGTTAAAGTGAACTAAGCCATTAAAAGTGTTTTTTGAGGTTGTGCTTTAATTTGTTTTTTTTTTCTTTAAAATTGATTTAAACTCAATATTCATCTAAAACTACCCTTTCCACAGAGTATCAACACTGTTTTTTGATTTTACTTAAAAAATAACAGATCTAAAGGTGACAAAACTGGTAATAAAATGTTGCAAAAGAGACTAAGAAATACAACATGCTGTATATGCACACTTTTATATTTTGCTCATAGTTCTACTTTAACATGATATTTTACTACTTCGAAGAATTCTTCTCCTTCTTTATGTACACTTTTTTTTAAACATGTAATATATTCTATGTTTATGTCTGCATTTGCACCTGTTCAAGTTCTTAAAAGCGTCAGGATAAATATTTTATAATAAGAAATGAGTCACGTTCTTCAGCATGTTTTCTAAAATATATTTGTTTCAAACATATGTGCTGAAAGAGCATTTTTCCCAGTAACAGCTGCGTAGTCTGATGTTTGGGAAGTGTGCTTTCTCTTTTCACATGGATTCATGATGTAAGTGAATGGGAGAGAGTTGGGTAACGCTGATTAGTGACTGTAAGATTTCAGTCTTGTTCTATACATACCTTGGTTCTTCAATAATCAGTCTGAATTTGCTAGTAGCCATTAATAGTACAAAAAAATCATCCAGTTCACAAGTGTTGCCTCTGTCACCCACCATCAGCACACTGCACTTACGTTCCCTCAACAAGTATCCCCTCTGCTGCAACTGTCACCCAGAGGGGACACTTATGGTGCAAAGTGCAGTGTTCAAGTGGTGGCGGACAGAGGCAATAGAGGGAACAATGAAGGAGCAAAGTGCAGTGTTCAAGTGGTGGTGGACAGAGGCAACAGAGGGGACAATTGTGGAGAAAAGTGCAATGTTCCAGTGGTGGTGGACAGAGGCAACAGAAGGGACAATGGTGGAACAAAGTGCAGTGTTCAAGTGATGGTGGACAGAGGCAAAAGAGTAGACAATGATGGAGGAAAGTGCAGTGCTCAAGTGGTGGTGGACAGAGGCAACAGAGGGGACAATTGTGAAGAAAAGTGCAATGTTCCAGTGGTGGTGGACAGAGGCAACAGAGGGGACTATGGTGGAACAAAGTGCAGTGTTCAAGTGATGGTGGACAAAGGCAACAGAGTAGACAATGATGGAGGAAAGTGCAGTGCTCAAGTGGCGGTGGACAGAGGCAACAGAGGGGACAATGGTGGAGTAAAGTGCAGTGTTCAAATGGTGGGGGGCAGAGGCAACAGAGGGGACAATGGTGGAGCAGAGGGCAGTGTGCAGGTGGTGGATGAAAGAGGGAGCAGAGGGAGAACTTGAGGAGTGGAGTGTAGGTGGCATGGGAGAGAATCAGCAGATGGAACACCTATGTATTTTATTTTAAAATATTGCTTACCTAATATTAACCCATTTCTCTATTGTCCATTGAGGCACACAGTTTGATAAGCAACCTAGGATTAAACTGTTGCCTACAGGTGGAATGGACTGATTCTGTCAGAGACCGCGGGAGGATTCATTTTCAGATGCTGAGACCCTCCCTCTCATAGAGGAGGAGATCCTATTAGGTGAATTTCATTAAGCAGTTGTTTCACCAAAACAGAAATAAACTGTTTCCTTTCTAATCAAGAGCATTACTCTTTAGAGGACTTCATTCCTCTACCACAATACCTGGGCTCTACTTTCATAGGCCTAAACTTTCCACCAAAGTGTTGTTTCATGATCTCCTCTTTTATGATTGTATTTCATGCTCACCTCTACATCTTTTCCTAGAATATGTCTGACTGATCTAAATCACTATGCAAGGATCTTGTGCCTGCAATTTATTGATTGCATTGACCAGATGACCATCACATTGACCCTTATGTAAGATGCGGCTCTAGATACTAGCCAAGTTATGGCTTGGGTGACCTTTTCTTTTTTCAGATCCAGAGTACACTCCGACTTAAGTGTTGGTCATTGAAGCATCAGTGTAAGAAGGATTTTTATGCCTATCCTTCATGGATCTATGCTGGACAAATGTATTAAAGTAGCAAAGGGGTGTAAGATTATTCACTAACCCCAGCTGCATAAAATTAAAGGTCAATGATGCAAATCAACAATTCCCTATCCTGCAGCAAAATATTTCTTTCCTTCCTCCAATTTAGTTTCTAGCTTCCATGCCCATAAGTCATTTTCCATCCCTTGGACTCAGGGACTTATAAACATCGCTGACAACCCAAGGGACCAAAACCTGAAGACAAATCGACCTCCAAATAAAGGTCCTCCCCTACCAGCTCCACCAGAGGTGTAGGATGCATGATGTCTTTTAAATTAGTTAAGCTTGTAACACGTGTGCAAGAAGTAGTAAAAAGGATTACAATATAGCGTTTCTCTTTCATCTTCCATCTCAATATTTCATTTTACATATCTCAGCAATGTTGAACAGACTTTGATTCATCCACTGAACTATTGCTAAACTAGGGGTTTCCATTTCCATTAGTCTAAAAATAAAATTTCAAAGATTTTATTTAAACCTACTTACAGTTTCAAAATTCAAAGGAAGCATTCATCCTAGCTTAGATTTAAGCACTCTTAATGCCTTTGTTTGTCCTCAAAAATGTCAGATGGAATCTGTTTGGTTGCCTTCTTTCATGACAGAGACTTTTTAGCATCCATCAACAAAAGGATGAGTATTTACACATCCACATTTTTCAAGTCAGCAACAATTACTTTGCTTTGTTGTGAGCAACATCCAGTATAAATTTTTTGACCCTTCCCTTGCTTCAACCCTGAGAGTATTCACTTAGGTCCTCACATCAGTTGGGTCTTCTTTGTCTCAGAAGTATTCCAGTAAACTTAGATACTTGGATGATCTGCTGCTGCAAGAGCTGACTTGCTTGACCTTGGACTCAAATACACTATATTGCCAAAAGTATTGGGACACCCCTCCAAATCATTGGATTCAGGTGCTCCAATCACCTCCATGGCCACAGGCAGGGGTGGACTGACCATTTGGAAACTTGGGCACTGCCCGAGGGCCCAGGGTCAGTAGGGGGCCCCATGAGATGCCCCTGGTACCTTTTTCATTGGCTTTTTTGAGTTTGGGCAAGGACACAGGGGCACCATGATCTCCTATTGCCCAGGGACCCCATAAGTTGTCAGTCCGCCCCTGGCCACAGGTGTATAAAATCAAGCACCTAGGCATGCAGTCTGCTTCTACAAACATGTGATCTCGAGAGCTCAGCGAATTCAAGAGTGGTATCATGTTAGGTTGCCACCTGTGCAATAAGTCCATCTGTGAAATGTTACTAAATATTCCATGGTCAGTCAACTCTTAGTGGTATTATAACAAAGTAGAAGCAACTGGGAACAAAGGCAACAAGGCTGCGTAAAATTACAGAGCGGAGTCAGCGCATGCTGAAGTGCACAGTGCACAGGAATCGCCAACTGTCTGCAGAGTCAGTAGATAAAGACATCCAAACTTTGTGTGGCCTTCAGATTATAACAAAAACAGTGTGTAGAGAGCTTCATTGAATGGGTTTCCATGGCCGAGCAGCTGCATCCAAGCCTTACATCACCAAGTGTAATGCAAAGCATCAGATGCCATGGTGTAAAGCACGCCACCACTGGACTCTAGAGCAGTGGAGATGTGTTCTCTGGAGTAACGAATCACATTTCTCTGTCGGACAATTCGATGGACGTGTCTGGGTTTGGCACTTGCCAGAATAGCGTTACTTGCCTGACTACATTATGCCAAGTGTAAAGTTAGGTGGAGGGGGGATTATTGTGTGGGGTTGTTTTTTTCAGGGGCTAGGCTTGGCCCTTAAGTCCCAGTGAAGGGAACTCTTAAGGTGTCAGCATACTAAGATATTTTGGACAATTTCATGCTCCCAACTTTGTGGGAACAATTTGGGGATGGCCCCTTCCTGTTCCAACATGACTGTGCACCAGTGCACAAAGCAAGGTCCACAAACACATGGATGAGTGAGTTTGGGGTGGAGGAACTTGACTGGCCTGTACTTGACCTCAACCCGATAGAATGCCTTTGAGATGAATTAGAGCGGAGACTGCGAGCCAGGCCTTCTCGTCCGATATCAGTGCCTGACCTCACAATAGCGCTTCAGGAAGAATGGTAAAACATTCCCATAGACACACTCCGAAACTTTGTGGACAGCCTTCCCAGAAGAGGTAAAGCTATTATAGTTGCAAAGGGCGGGCCAACTCAATATTAACCACTTGCCTACCAGGCACTTATACCCCCTTATTTACCAGGCCAATTTTCAGCTTTCAGCGCTGCCGCACTTTGATTGACAATTGCGCGGTCATGCAACATTGTACCCATATGAAATGTTGATAATTTTTTTCTCACAAATAGAGATTTCTTTTGGTGGTATTTAATCGCCACTGGGCGCTTTACTTTTTGCGCTATAAATTAAAAAATTGCAAAAAATTTGAAAAAAAAAAAAAGTTTCTTTGTTTCTATTATAAAATTTTTCAAACAGGTAATTTTTCTCCTTCACTGATGTGCGTTGATGAGGCAGCACTAAAGGGCACTGATAGGCGGCACTGATGGGCACTGATAGGCAGCACTAAAGGGCACTGATAGGCAGTACTAATGAGGTGGCACGGATAGGCGGCACTGGTAGGCAGCACTAATGAGGTGTCACGGATAGGCGGCACTAATATGCAGCACTGATAGGCGGCACTGATAGGTGACACTGATGATGGGTACTGATAGACGGCACTGACTGGCATCACTGCTGGGCACTGACTGGCGGCACTGACTGGCACAACCGCTGGGCACTGACTGGTGGCACTGACTGGGAGCACTGCTGGGCTGCACTGGTGGGTGGCACTGGTGGGCAGCACTGGTGGGTGGGCACAGGTGGGTGGCACTGGTGGGCACAGGTGGGTGGGCACAGGTGGGTGGCACTGCTGGGCACAGGTAGGTGGCAATTCTGGGCACAGGTGTGTGACACTGCAGAGTGGCACAGGTGGGTGCACTGCTGGGCACAGGTGGGTACATTGCTGGGCACCGGTGGGCGGAGCTAGTGGGTGCACTGCTGGGCACAGGTGGGCGGAACTTGTGGGTGGCACTGCTGGGCACCGATCATCAGGGCACTGATCATCAGTGCCCTGATGATCGGTGCCGATCCTCGCTCTGACAACTGCCGGTTCTCACGATCTGACAGCGTGAGGAAAGTGCAGCCGAGAACCGGCACTCTCATTTCCCTGTGATCAGCATGTCATTGGACACCGCTGATCACGTGGTAAAAGGCCGGTATGATTGGCCTTTTACCACATCTCGTGATCAGCTGTGTCCGTAGGACACAGCGATCATGGAGATCGCCAGGTGCGCGCCCCCTGGGGCACGCAGGAGAGCGCGTTCTGGGGGGACGTCATATGACGTCCACCCAGAACTGGCCGGCCGCAGTGCAGCCGTCATTCGGCTATCTGCGGTCGGCAACTAGTTAAACCCTACAGACTAAGACTGGGATTACATTAAAATTAATGTGCATATAAAGGCAGGCAAAAACTTTTGACAATGTAGTGTATATCAATCACACTGTGGACCTTGGAGAGCTTTGTATGAATCAAGCACTTTGTGAAGTTATTTCTGATTCTGTTACATCACTTTGGGTACTTGACCTTCTCTTGGATACCTTTCAGGGCAAGGTCTTTTTGCACCAGGAAAAACTGATGGACCAGCATGCGAGTTCTGGAATTGAAAGTATCCACTTACAAAGCAGTTCAAAATTGTAGCAAAGGCAGCACTCAACAGGATTTAAGTATGTATGAAACTTTATTAATAAACAGGGTAAAATAGAGTAGTCCACACTTACACATTTCAGTCTACACAGCCTAAATCATAGCTGGCTACAAACAACCATGACAAAGATTTGAAAGCAAACAGCTCCACCCTAAGCAGATGAATCAATTAAAACCAATAACAAGTCAGATCAACCAAAGGTACAGTGCTATGAAAAACTGAAACATTAAATCAATTATTAAATTAATGAACTATTCATTCACATACTGCATATACAGTTGTGTTCAAAATAATAGCAGTCAGACATCATTAACCTGATCAGTCACTGTTTTTGGTAGAAATTATATTTCTACATGGCAAATAATTTACTAGCAGGTGTAGTAGAGTAATAGAAATCCAACAGACCCAACAATCATGACATGCATGCTGCTGATTCTGTGTAATTGAATCACTAATTGAAAGGGGCATGTTCAAAATAATATCATTGTGGAGTTCTATTAGTGAGGTCATTCATTCTTTGAAAAACAGGTGGCAATTATTGCCCTTATTTAAGTAAGTAAGGCAGCAATTGTTGTACATGCTGGTTACAGTGCATTTCTCTCTGAAATTCTGAGGAAAATTGGTAATTCCAGACATTGTTCAGAAGAACAGCGTACCTTGATTAAAAAGTTGATTGGAGAGGGGAAAACATATAAAGAAGTGCAGAAAATGATAGGCTGCTCAGCTAAAATGATCGCAAATGCTTTAAAATGGCAACCAAAACCTGAAAGACGTGGAAGAAAGCGAAAAACTACCCATTCGAATGGATAGAAGAATAGCCAAAATGGCAAGGACTCAGCCAACAATCAGCTCCAGGAAGATCAAAGAAGGTCTAAAGTTACCTGTGAGTACTGTTACAATTAGAAGACACCTATGTGAAGCCAAGCTATCTGCAAGAAGCCCCCGCAAAGTCCCACTGTTGAAAAAAAGACGTGTGCTGAAGAGGTTACAATTTGCCAAAGAGCACATTGACTGGCCTAAAGAGAAATGGCGCAACATTTTGTGGACTGATGAAAGTAAGATTGTTCTTTTTGGGTCTAGTGGCCGGAGACAGTTTGTCAGACAACTCCAAACACTGAATTCAGTACACTATGAAGACAGTAAAGCATGGTTGTGCAAGCATCATGATATGGGGATGTTTCTCATACTACGGTGTTGGGCCTATTTATCGCGTACGGGGATCATGGATCAGTTTGAATCCATCAGAATACTTGAAGAGTACATGCTGCCTTATGCTAAAGAGGAAATGTCCTTGAAATGGGTGTTCCAGCAAGACAACGACCCCAAACACACCAGTAACGTGCAACATCTTGGTTCCAGACCAACAAGATTGACGTTATGGAGTGGCCAGCCCAATCCCCGGATCTTAATCCAATAAAAAACTTGTGAGGTGACATCAAAAATGCAGTTTCTGAGGCAAAACCAAGAAATAGAGAAGAACTGTGGAATGTAGTCCAATCATCCTGGACTGGAATACCTGTTCAGAGGTGCCAGAAGTTGGTTGACTCCATGCAACACAGATGTACAGCAGTTCTTAGAAACAGTAGTCAAAACAGTGCTTATACAACTAAATATTCATTAAGTGATTCAAAGGAAAGCAAAATCTTCAAACATTTTTCAGCTTATATAGTGAATGTTTGAGTTTGTAAAGAAGAATACAAACACTGCTATTTTTTGAACAGTCTAATATTCACTTTTCTTCAATTTTGTTAGAGGAACACAACACAAATTTGATATATTTTTCTTCATGTTTTGATTTGGAATAGAATGTGTAGTGTTCCCAATGCATTTGTGTGTATGGAAATAAAAAGCTATTAGAAGGATTTTGAGCTTTATTCACTTTTTTCAACACACTGCTATTATTTTGAACACAACTGTATATTTCTTAGAATAAATTATTTTAAAAATACATTTATTCCATCTTTGATTGAAACTTTGAGTAGCAAGTTTCAAAATCCACCAGACTTCCCTTTTCAAAAGATGTCTGTGCATCTCCTCTGCTAATTGGTCTAATAACTCTTTCAATTTCATAAAATTAGAAACCAGACATGTCCCTTGCATGAATATCCTTGATGTGTTTTGTGACTAATGACAGATGACAGATGTCTGGCATTGGGGTTAATGGCATCATAATAATGCTCACCAATGAGGACCCTGAGTGGGCGAATAGTGCACCGAACATACTGTAATGCATAAACTTTACATTGTATGAGGAAAGACTCCCCAGTGAGCAAAGATTTGGTCGCCTTGGTTTTTAAATGAATCCGACAATAACAGTAGGTATTAGTACCACATCTACAGTATATGAACCAAAAGTAGAAAGCTATGATTTCTACATAGATGGTGATGATAAAAACAAACTTGTCGACAGGAGAGAACCCAAAGTAGGTGCTCTCCTACTAGAAAACTTGCAACCCTCCCTAAGGATGTCTCGCAAGCTAGTGTCAGCAAAAAAAAACGGACAATTTTTTTCTGATGATCTTAGAAGTTTTACAATATTCAGCTGAATAGGTGGTGACAAAATTCACCTTATTGTCTGGAAGAGACCACATCTCTTGTTGCCTCTAGTTTTCTATTATACTTCCTGATATAGGTGTCCAAAAGGCTATCATGTGAGTATTCACTGGTTATCGTCAAACCTCAGAAAATCTACGCCTCTTTATATGCTCTTTGTCTTTACTTATCTTTTTATAAGATTACACTCTGTAAAGAAAGCCAATTCCATAGATCAGTTCCTCTTTGCCCAAAGAAATTCCCCTAAAGGAATTGCTTTAATTGCACAGGCATGATGGCTACTACTAGCAAATAAAGTGGAGTTGACTGCACACAATTTGTACACAATTTGTGCTATATTTTAGTCTCCACTAAACCTGAATCTCGATCTTCCGTCAAGTGTAATGTCCAGATAATGGATAGTTGTTTTTTGACATTTTGTTTTTTTGTTTGTTTTTTGTAAAGCCTAAATTAAATTAATTGGAATTCAATTAACTTACAAAGCAAGCAATATATTCCCAGTTCACCTTCCATACTAGTAAAAGGTTGTCAATATAACAACCATACCATGAATGCTTTCTTTATAAGGATTGCAGTCCAAAAAAAACTGGGCAGGGCGGGGGTGGGCAGAGGGCGGAGCTAATCAGAACTGTGCTATAATGCATACATAGACATCAACAATGGTTTAAGGAAGTGCCTGTGAGTAGCCACAATCTGCTGCTTAAGCACACCGTTGTCGATGAAAACTCAGGAGATTGAGAATTGTCTAAGACAGACTTCTGTTTCTAATGTAGACAATCAGCTATTAAGAAATGTATAATATAACATTTTTAGTTATCAAACTCACTAAGCAATGGCAAAATGTGATTTTAAATTGGAATTCCATTTTAAGCATAACTACTCCTCCACCCTTATCTGCCCACCATATCATCGGGTTGTGATGTTGTTTAATATCTTGAATAGCCTCTAATGCCAGTTTAGATACATTGTTCTTATGATGTGAATATCTGTTATAAATTAATGCAGATAAGGAGGTAAGTTTTTGTTCCACTACCACCTGAAATACATCTAGAGGTGCACATCTGGCTCTCACTGGATAGAAATTCACATTCAGATAAATTCTTCTACTTTGTATTCCTTTTTCTTTCCCAGTTTATTTTTTTGGCATTTTAGGATGCATATTATCATCCTGTGAAAAAAACAGAGCCCACAGATGACCTGGAGGCACTAGTAGAAGAAGAATCGGTAGTATCTCTAGTATCCAGCTGATCATCTGACTGTTCTGAAAAGCTGAAATAGTTCTTTTATGAGACCTTTTTGTTGAAATGTTTCTAAATCTACCTCAATTTGTTTCAAAGCTTACCGGCCCAGAAGAAGTGATGATAAACACAGAAATATTTTTTGCGTTTAGTAGTCATGATTTCTTGTTCCAGTTTATCCATTTCTTACTGTAATCTGTCACTCAAAGTTTGATACACAGTAAAATGCTGAAATGAGGTTGGCAGTTCCTGGATATGAGCAGTAGACTGTCAAAGTTGATTCTTCATATTTGATGATTAAAACCCATCAAAATGCAAAAGAACAATTGATTAGGATTTTGATACACTTGTTGATAAACTCAAGCAAGTATACTATTGAGGGAGCAATTCCTTACATTAATGTAAAAAATGTTTAGGCTTTGGCTTTGGCCCCTTACCCCTCCTTTTACTTACCTGAGTCCTCATTCGACCCAGCACTGAGCACGTCTGCAGCTCTTCTCTCCCCTCACGTCCATGTCTCACTGGCTTTGCTGGGGCACCTGCAACCATTAGATCCCACTGCTGTAAATCAAAGACAGTGATGAGGGAGCAGGGGGGTGGGTTTGAGTCTTTGTTAATGGACACAACAGCAGGGCTCAGGAGTGAGCACTCTCAATTGCCCCCATAGGACTTCCATGGGGGCACTGGACAGTGAGGAGGAGCCATGAGCACCAGCGGGGACC